ATCCCCTTCCCTAAATATGTACTTCCTCCCTTGCTGCCATTTCTCTATTCCTGAAGTCTTTGGCCTTCCCTTCCAATTCTTTTTTTTTTTTATTAAAGATTTTTTTTTTTTTAATTTATTCATTTGAGACACACAGATACAGAGAGAGAGAGAGAGAGCATGAGCAGGGAGAGAGGCAGAGGGAGAGGGAGAAGCAGGCTCCTTGCTGAGCCAGGAGCCCAATGTGGGGCTCGATCCCAGGACCCTGGGATCATGATCTGAGCCGAAGGCAGACACTTAACGATCTGAGCCACCCAGGCGCCCCCTTCCCTTCCAATTCTTTTAGAAGACTCCCTCAAATGCAAACTGTTCCAAGAAGCTTTTCCTGAATAACTTGCCAAGTATGTTCTCTTCTCTTTATAAATTATCTTATAGGTGAGCTTGTACCTCTCTTAGGCCACAATTACCATATTTTATTCAATATATAATGTGCTTTTCTTGTGCATTACCCCGTCTCCTCGATTTAGATTCTGACCTTCCTGAGGGCAGAGACTTTTGTAGTTGATTTGGATGCAGAGTTGTTTTGGATGTAATGGACAGTCCATAAATATTTGCTTAATGAAATAGTAAGTTAAAATTAGATTGATGTGGGGCGCCTGAGTGGCTCAGTCATTAAGCGTCTGCCTTGGGCTCGGGTCATGATCCCGGGGTCCTGGGATCAAGCCCCGTATCGGGCTCCCTGCTCTGCGGGAGGCCTGCTTCTCCCTCTCCCTCTGCCTGATGCTTGTGTTCCCTCTTTCGCTGTGTCTCTCTCTGTCAAATAAATAAATAAAATCTTTAAAAAAAAAAAAAAAAGATTGATGTGGTATTTTCATAAAGTTAGAAAATGGTACCTTTACAGAATGAATTACAACAATAGATCTTTAAGTGGAACTTACATGAACATTGTGTCAATTGTAGAATAAACTTCAAATCAGAAAACATGGCTTTATGAGATTTTATGGACATTTTTTCATAGTTTGCCTTTAGGCTCTATTTTTATTTTTATTTAAAGATTTTATTTATTTATTTGAGAGAGAGGGAGAATACGGAGTGGGAGAGGGAGAAGCAGACGCCCCGCTGAGCAGGGAGCCCGATGTGGGACTCGATCCCAGGACCCTGAGATCATGACCTGAGCTGAAGGCAGACACTTAACCAACTGAGCCAACCAGGCGCCCAGTCTCTATTTTTATAACTAAAGTCAACTACTTACAAATATCTTGTCACATACAGAATGTGTATCTTCTTAGTATAGTGTTGGTATCTATATTCATTTTCTTAATCATTAGATGTTCCTCTTATGTACTTACTTTTAGCAAAGCACAGTAACATGTATTGATAATGTTCTGTTTATATGTCCAAATTCCCCTTCAGAGATCAGTGATTACTCATCACCCAAATACCTGGAAGTTCTTTATCAATAAATGTTTATTGGATGAGAAAATAGCAAAATTCTTAATTAAAATTTTTACTTCTTCCATATATTAGGTAAGCCTCAGGTTACATAAATGTAGAAAACATTCTGCTTTAGCACAATCTACCATCATGTACAAAAATTCAACAACTATACCAGTTCTTTCCTATATAAACTATTACTGCTCTGATACAACATATATTTATTTCCAGAGCAGACTCCTAAAAATTCTTTAACTGTTTTTTTTAAGAATAAATGTATAAGCACATAGTAAATCTGTATAAATCCACAATGTTTTATATTTATGTTTAAGTTCACTGTTAATCGCAGTAAGTAAAAATATATGAATTAATGTCATATCCTTCCAATAATTTACTTTCAGCATTCATTTGGGCAGTAGATTTTTATAGTTGTGGGTTCTGAACTCTTGAAGTGATGCATTCTAATTATTCAAGAAATTACTTTAATCATTCTAAGATGTGTATTTTTTCCACTTTAATATCTCTGAAATTGGGGAGGGTGCCTGGATGGCTCAGTCAGTTAAACATCTGACTCTTGGATTCAGCTCAGATTGTGATCTCAGGGTTGTGAGACTGAGCCCTGCGTTAGGCTCCACACTCAGTGTGGAGTTTGTTTCAGATCCTCTCCCTCTCTTTCTGCCTCTCCCTCCATGCGCTCTCTCTCCCTCTCAAATAAATAAATAAATCTTAAAAAAAAAAATCTCAAAGTGGGGTGTGTCTCAGTACCTACCTGCCAGATGGGGGTCATGGAGTACTTATCTGTGCGTACACACACTTGGTCATAGTTATTTATATTGCCATCACCAGTTGGGCTATGTACATTAGTACTACACATGTTCGTTATTTAAAATGTCTCTCTTTTTTTTTAAGTAGGCTTCACGCCCAGCACAGAGCCCAGCACAGGGCTCAAACTCACAACCGTGAGATCAACCTGAGCCAAAATCAAGAGTTGGGCACTGAACCAACTTGAGCCACCCAGGTGCCCCTAAAATGTCTTTAAAAAAATACACTATTTTTCAGGGGCGCCTGGGTGGCTCAGTCGTTAAGCGGCTGCCTTCGGCTCAGGTCATGATCCCAGGGTCCTGGGATCGAGCCCCGCATCAGGCTCCCTGCTCGGCGGAGAGCCTGCTTCTCCCTTTCCCTTTGTCTGCTGCTCTGCCTACTTGTGGTCTCTCTCTCTCTCTTAAATAAATAAATAAAAATCTTTAAAAAAAAAATACACTGTTTTTCAGTATTTAACCAAAATGTTTTTGATTATGCAGAGAGGCACAGAAACAGAGTAGCAGAGCATAAATTTAGTATTAGTGAAGCAAATATTTGTTGTTGAAGAAACGACAGCAATTCACATTTACTTACAGAGCAACAGTCAAGTATTTTATGGACCAAGCAGAGTATCTCAAGGCAGAAGAAATTATCAAATCCTTTGAAATAAGACTAAGTCTAAAAACTTTTGAAATGGTATAGTGCCATAGTTTAACTGGCAGCACTTTTTTTTACGTTATATCAACTAATGATGTACCTCATATTTGATGACATACTGGATTTGGTAACTTTCACTGTATTTCTTTTTTTTGTGTGTTCCTCTTGATAAATAATCATACAACCATATAAAAGCATAAGACATTGCTTTCCTGATTAATAAATTAGGTGTACATAAATGTTCCCAAGTCTGGAGTCTGAAGCAGAAACTAAGATACATTCCAGAGAAGTGATTTAATCTACCTTCTATTTTGCTAATGGCCTTGTTCAGTTCAGACCACATAGCCTTTCATCTGCTCTGTCTCACAAGTATAAAATCTGGAAAAACAACTTTTTCTGTATTTTAATTCTTCTAAAATCATATATTTGTTAAAGGATTTAAGTACATACCATTGTGATTGATGATAAGTCAGTTTCCAGTTAAAATTAACATAGACTTTGGTAGTTTTTCTCAGAATTTTTCAAAAGTATTTCTACATTAAAATAGTGAGCATTTTGTTTAGGAAATTTCTATTTCCTAATGTGGACCTCCCAAAATAGAAGTTCTGGAAAAATTTCTTAGGCCTTTGCTAATGTTTAATTAATATGTAGAGCAGTGGGAAACTCCATTTGTGGTTCTCTAGGCAAGACAGTAGGGCAGAACCATAAATTACCTTTGTTAAAAGTGTTTGGAATGATACAGGCCTGGAACAAAATTAGCTAGCCATTTCATATTAACAAGTAACCTATTAGATCCTTTCCACACATAAATATCATGTATGTGTGTGTATATATATATATATTCATGTAAATGTTAATCATTTTTTCTCTTCAGACTAATCATAAGACTAATTCATTGCTTAGCTCAAGCTACTGTTTATTTTTGCCTCAGCTTGATTGTCAAGATTGTCATTTATTTATACAGTTTAGTAAATAAGCAATATTTATATTCCAAATGATTTAGTGAAGGCAGGAGGGAGACTTAGGGACAGAGTAACGAATATGACCATTAACAGGAAGGTCCTTGCTTTTGTTACTTGAATATCTAAATCAGTTGGCTGTTAGGAAGGCTGATCTTCCATGTAGATGAGCAACAGAACCATGGTAACAATATGTGGGAACATCCCAAACGTATCACCTGTCTGCATTGTCTGTCAACTGACCAGATGGCTAACTCGTCTCATTTGGCCCAGTTTAACATGATCTCATACAATTGTTATTGTTGTTCTTTCTTTAAAAGCTTTTATTTATTTATGTATGTATTTATTTATGTATTTATTTATTTAAGAGAGAGAGTGAGCGAGAGGGAGAGAGCATCTGAAGCAGACTCCACACTAAGTGCAGAGCCTGACATTGGGCTCCATCACACAACTGCGAGATCATGACGTGAGCTGAAACCAAGAGTCGGATGCCCAACCGACTGAGCCACCAGGCACCCCATACAGTTTTTCTTCTTGATGTATTTCCACATATACTGTATGAAACAATAAGATTTATCTGCTCGAGAGGTCTAGAGCAAAATATCACAACGCAGTTACTACTCTGAGAAGATTTGATGTCAGCTATCTTAACAAGACGTTACTTCAAAGTGTAATACATATATATTTTAAACATGACAGAGCTGCTGGGGAATGATGGTCATTTCATGGTATAGGCGAACTTCAAGTGGCACCTGGGTGGCTCAGTTGGTTGAGCATCCGACTCTTAATCTCGGCTCACGTCTTGATCTCACTGTTGTGAGTTCGAGCCCTACGTTGGGCTCTGTGCTAAGTATGGAGCCTACCTAAAAAAAATACGTGTGTATATATGTGTGTATACGTGTATGTATGTATATATGTATGTATACATATATATATGAACTTGAAAATGAAGTAATATGCATTATTACTTTGAAATGCATACAATCATGTCCCAAGCACCAGCATTTTTTTCCTTGTAGGGAATATTAATGAGCTTTTTGCAATTTTTTAATCATTCTACCAAAAAATACTGTACCCTGAGATTGTATGTTTTTTAAGTCACATATAAGCTTTGTAGAACTTTAATGAATACTCATCATTAAACTTTAATTGTTTTTCTTATTTTCCTAGGATTCTGACACTTCATGACATGTCATTATCTAGAGCAATAATGAACATTGACCTGTTTCGGATTAGTTGATGACCTTTGGCAATGATCCGATAATATCCACTACACAGAAGCTGAATAAACTTCATTTGGAGTGAATAGCCCAGATTGTCACTGGATTTTTCAAGATGACAGATCCAATGATGGACTTTTTTGATGATGCCAATCTTTTTGGTGAGACCTTAGAAGGTTTGTCAGATGATGCATTTGTACAGCCAGGACCTGTTTCACTAGTTGATGAATTGAACTTGGGTGCAGAATTTGAACCTTTGCACATAGACTCACTGAACCATGTTCAAGGTACTCCAACACATCAGAAGATAACTGATTATGAGCAGTTAAATCAGTTTGATTCAATGAAATTTCACCAAGTCAATCAGCCTTTTGGTAGCCCAGCTGAACACGTGTTATCTCCACACTCTCAGTTTAATTGTTCTCCGATCCACCCCCAAAACCAGCCCAATGGTTTGTTTCCAGATGTAGCAGATGGCAGTCCAATGTGGGGCCATCAGACAGCTACCAGCATTTCCAATCAAAATGGGTCTCCTTTTCACCAACAAGGACATTCTCACTCTATGCATCAAAATAAAAGCTTTGTGGTACACCATGACTTTGCCTTATTTCAGGCCAGTGAACAACAAACACAGTGCACTTCACTACGCTCACAACAAAACAGAAATAATCTTAACCCAGGTCAGAATTCCCTCAGCCAGTCTAAAAATTTTATGGATGTTAATGTTTCTGGTCCACACAGAGTCAGTGTTAACCACCCATCACAAATCCCTAATGCATCTACGTCGCAACAGCCTCTTTCAATGCAGCAATTTTCCCAAACGTCAAATCCTTCAGTTCACTTCCTCAAGTGTAGCAATCATCAAGAAGGGAATTTCAATGGACCTTCTCCAAATATGACTTCTTGTTCTGTCAGTAATTCACAGCAGTTTTCATCACATTATTCCTTTTCCAGTAATCACATCTCACCAAACAGTCTTCTGCAGGCCTCTGCAGTGCTTGCACCTAATCATACAAATCAGACTTTATCTGATTTTACCGGAAGTAACTCCTTTTCACCTCATAGGGGAATCAAGCAAGAATCCACTCAGCATATGCTAAATCCCAATACATCGTTGAATTCAAATAATTTCCAAATGTTGCATTCATCACATCCTCAGGGTAATTATAGCAATTCAAAATTATCTCCTGTACACATGAACTTCCCAGATCCTGTTGACTCAGGAACTCAAATGGGCCATTTCAATGATCACGTAGAAACTAATGGCTTTTCATCTTTAGAAGAGAATTTACTTCATCAAGTGGAGTCTCAGACTGAGCCATTCACAGGACTTGACCCAGAAGACCTCCTCCAGGAGGGTCTCCTTCCCCAATTTGATGAGGCAGCATTTGGACAAGATCATTCAAGTCATGTTTTAGATCATGACCTTGAACGGCAGTTTACTTCACATCTTGTAACCCGGCCTTCGGATATGGCTCCAACACAGATGCATAGTCAGGCTCGGAGTTGGCACTCTTCACTTTCCAATCATCAGCATTTACATGACAGAAATCGCCTATATTTACAGCGACAGGTATGTGGCTCTTTTATTTTGGTGATTTGGGATAGAATGGGCCTTTTTTTTTTTTTTGAGTTAATTTTATGTGAGACATATCCAGGATTTCTCAAACTGAGGCATATTTTGACATAGTTTCTTTTGCTTTAACAGTCTTATATTTGAAAGTGATTTGTTGATGTGCTCAAAGCAATACATTAACTTCTATATTTAGAAAATTATAAGGTTTTAAGGCCTTTTTTGTAACTTTCAATTATAATTGCCTTTAACAGAATGATTTATTATCAAAAATAAAAACTGAACCATAATTAAAAGGTAAACAATAGACTGGGAACATTTTATCACAAATATAATGAACATAGTGTTAATATTCCTATAAAAAACCCATACAAATTGATAAGCAAACTTTTAGGACTTCACTTGATAACTAAATAAAGCATACGAGCTGGAATTCACAAAAGGGTAAGTTGAGTTAGTAAAGAGAATATTCAGAATAATGTGCAACTTTAATAATTCCATTTGCAGCATGGTTTTATTTTTATGTATTAGAAAAAAATTTCTGTTAACGTTAATGCTTCATGCTGGCAAATTTATACTGACATTGGAAATTATAATAGGTTTGTTATTTGATACCAGTATTTTGGAAAACAGTCTGATGGTGAATTTGAATATAAAAATGCTTTATTACAATAAGCCAAGCATAGCAAAAGTAACATACCCAAAGATCTTTATCTTACACTGTCTGTACAGCACAACTGGAAGCACCATAGTTTATTGTCCTAGCATATTAGATGGACTATTACAGGCATTAAAAAGTTGGAAGACTAACACTGACAGTATGTTAGCGACGGGGGGAAGCATAACTCAAGATTAAGATCACAGTGAAGCGGTTAA